AATGTATTTCAAAATTTTGCTTGTTGACATATGGAGAAAAAAAAGATTTGTAGTATCTTGCAAGGTGCTTTATGATGTCTAGTAGAATTAAAAAATAACAATATTTTTAGGGGGGGTTAATGTGTTTTCATTGTTGTCTAACAGATCAACAGTGAACCAAAAAGGTTCACATACTATTGAGTAATGCTAAAATGATTAATTATGAACAGATTTCAGCACGAAGTATCATAACTCATGTATATGCGCACATGTAAAAACTCGCGAGTACCATACTACCTTAAATCGTGGTGGTCTCGCACAACGTGTTTGAATTTCATATAAACCATGTATTTTACACACGTTGTGTACATCGCTATAAGTCCCATATCGACCATTGCTCTATTACATGTACATTACAAAAGCACTTGCCACATTATAAAAAATTATACAACCTTGTTGATACTAATAATTGTACTAGTATTTAAATTTCTCCAGTTACTCAGTGATCAGTATCCATATATTATGCAGGTTGTATTAATTACACTTTAAAGAACAGGTATTTGAACTTTTGTGATATAAATAACGATATCAGTCATTATCACATTAAATGACCTAATTTTCCCTATTATGCATTTCATTTTTAGTTTCACTGTCATAAAAAATGACAGGTGGTTTAGATAATTGTCTGCTGTTGTCATCGCCTTCAGCCTTGGAAAATTCTACTTTAATTGGTTTGATACATGTATCTGGTATTTATGTAATTTTCTTTTGAAATTTGATTTTAATGAACATTGCGTTATCTATACTAACAAATCCACTATGTATGCACTTATTGCAAGACTGTGCGCTGCTGAAACAGCTGAGCTATTCGACCCACGAGTTGCTTGCTGTATTTTTCTGTTAATTCTCTGTTAATAATTTCCCATCTTAGTAAGAAATATTATATTGTTCAAGGAATTAAACATCTTTGCTTTTAATTTTGATTTGGGAAAAGGAGCGATGTTTTCATGATAAATTTTCTTTTTCACACTACAGAAAATATTATTTCTTTTTTTCTGTTATTGATCCCTGCAAATATCTCCTGAACAATTTTTTTTTTTTTTTCATTTCTGCCATTGTCAGAGTTTCTAATGGTCAACCCATTAAAAGACTGCTTTAATTCATGCTTGATATTACAATGAACTACATGTAAGGTCCTTACTAACTGGAACACAAGTCTGAAGAGCTGAGAAAAACTCTTGTGGTCTGATTTTTTTTGTAACATCTTTGTGAACAGGTGTTGAGGTCCTTCAGTGCATGTGACAATCTGATACTAGTGGGAGTGGTCAAGATTGGTGGTATACAAGTGTTTGAAATATTGTATTGTTTATGGCACTTACCCAGTACATTGGCATGACCTTGCTACATTTGGTAAACAAAACCATCAAAGTAGTCATTGTTTATCTGAATTATTATGGCGTGATTCAGAAATTCCTTCTTTGTCACATGTACAAGTCACCAAGTTACATACATGTAGTTTACCTTGCAATGAATGCTTGGACATTCCAGGACAAACAAAGTACAACATGAGGAGAAAAATAAAATAAAGTACAACATGAGGAAAATAATATACTTAAATTTTCATGAATGCGCGACAATGTCCTATAAATCATTAACGGATAATTATCGTCTAATAAAATCTAATGAAATTCTGGCAGAGATGTCTAACTTAGACATTTTTAGACATTGTTAGACGATATTATCGATAATATCGGAGAAAAACAAACTGTCCCAATAGTTGCCCAGACAGACCTGTCTAACTTAGTCATTTTTAGACATTGTTAGACGATATTATCGATAATATCGGAGAAAAACGAACTGTCCCAATAGTTGCCCGACAGACCTGTCTAACTTAGACATTGTTAGACGATATTATCGATAATATCGGAGAAAAACGAACTGTCCCAATAGTTGCCCGACAGACCTGTCTAACTTAGACATTTTTAGACGATATTATTGATAATATCGGAGAAAAACGAACTGTCCCAATAGTTGCCCAGACAGACCTGTCTAACTTAGACATTTTTAGACATTGTTAGACGATATTATCGATAATATCAAAGAAAAACGAACTGTCCCAATAGTTGCCCAGACAGACCTGTCTAACTTAGTCATTTTTAGACATTGTTAGACGATATTATCGATAATATCGGAGAAAAACGAACTGTCCCAATAGTTGCCCGACAGACCTGTCTAACTTAGACATTGTTAGACATTGTTAGACGGTATTATCGATAATATCGGAGAAAAACGAACTGTCCCAATAGTTGCCCGACAGACCTGTCTAACTTAGACATTTTTAGACGATATTATCGATATTATCGGAGAAAAACGAACTGTCCCAATAGTTGCCCAGACAGACCTGTCTAACTTAGACATTGTTAGACATTGTTAGACGGTATTATCGATAATATCGGAGAAAAACGAACTGTCCCAATAGTTGCCCGACAGACCTGTCTAACTTAGACATTTTTAGACATTGTTAGACGATATTATCGATAATATCAGAGAAAAACGAACTGTCCCAATAGTTGCCCAGACAGACCTGTCTAACTTAGTCATTTTTAGACATTGTTAGACGATATTATCGATAATATCGGAGAAAAACGAACTGTCCCAATAGTTGCCCGACAGACCTGTCTAACTTAGACATTTTTAGACGATAATATCAGATAACGTTAAAAAGTGCAATGTCGCGCCTTCCTCTAAATTTTAACAATCGATACATGTACTGCTACATACATTTCTTGATGACTTCAAAAGATGATGTAATAATGAAAAAGATTGGCAACTATATTCACAACACCTTTCAATCAAGAAATGAAAATGCCATTTGATATGTAACACTTGCTTTATCCTATTAACAACTAACTTTCTTTTTGTAGTAGTATTTATCACAACCAATCTTTATTGCTATTAACTGATAGAAACATTGTATTTCTAAGGATGCAATCAAGTTATTATTATTATTACGTATTATTATTATGTACTATATTTACAGGTGTTGAGATACTAGCACCAAATTCAGTTTAAAGGTTAATACAATCTTGCCATGCATGTTGTGCAGTAACTTACATCAAATGGAAATAAAATTGTTTCCATAATACATGTAACAGCTATTGTGTTTTTTTCCATCTCATCCTGGTGGCCATTTTTAATTCCCAATTCCCGAATTACCGTCAGACGTAATGTAATGTAATTATATTTGCGCATGCGTACCCTACCAAGGAACGAGCGAGGCGAGGGTAGGACAAAAATATAAAAAGTCAAAAGAGCATCGGCAGACATGCAACCCAGCATATTTGAAACGTTTTTTTAAAGACAGGAGTGAGTGTGAGCAGGTACAAACGAAGGCAGCTAGAAGAACTATTTAAGACAGCTGAGAAACTTGGATTTCAGAGAAAATTGACTGAATCAGAGTAAAATATATTGATGATAATATTTGGTAATCGTAGTCCTAAATAACTATTAAAAATAGCAAGAAGTTTCGAGCAATGGCTCTTTATCGATAACATAGAAGCAAGTGTGATAACGTATAGATAGAACATAGGAACGTAAGAACGCGCATGAACTATAAGTTAGAATCACAAAAAATTCCACAATAGAACAAATAACGCGCCTTAGGTAGTGAGCTCAACAAATGAGTTGAACTGTTTGTTAATACCATGGGTTTCCGAGCAGCGTTTATTTATTTATAACTACTATTCTGAATTAGAGTAAAGATGACCGTGGTATAGTTTTTAAACTCCCAAAATACCTGCAAAAAAAATGAAAATATTACGCTATAGCCAAAGATAATTTGCATGCTCGTTCTACTTGCTTAGGCAGAATAGTGTGCAAATTTTCAGAGGCTGGTACGAGTTAGTTGAAAGATGATGGCATTTTTATTTCAGGGGAATTTTTACGTTACGAGTTGGAAACATTGATGTTCAGTGCACTGCGACTCTGCACGTTTGGAATGTTCAAAATCTGTCCTCCCTTCCAGTTTGTTGACCCCAGGTCACACAATATGCGCAAGCTCACAAACGAACGCGCAAACGCCATCAATTTGGGAACCTGGAATTCTAAATAATTTACTCTTAAAGCAGGTGGGTTGTCACGTGTGGGAATAGAGTCTTAGGCGCTGATAACAACACTCTAAAAACACAAAGGCTCATGGGTAGACGCTTGTTTGTAAACAATGACACGCTATGGCCATCTGACGCAAGCGCAGGCGACGACTTCCCTGCTTTAACTTTTTCCAAATCTTCAAAATATCACTGATTTTCGTAAGAAGGAAGTATTTTTCAAGGTGTTTTACATGTTAAGAAAATTACTAGAGAAAATATTTTGAAAACATTAAGAAGCTTCAAGACAAAAAAATCTGACTCCAGGTTGAGAAGAGAAAGACAAATTTAAATTATTAAAAGAAAATTACAGGGTGTATTTTAGACATTTTAGTATTTAGATTATAACGACAAAATACTATTTGTATTAATTCAACAGTGAACATAAACTTGAAATAGCGAAACAGTTTCACAAATCTATATGAACATATACTTCCTGCAGACCAGTGTGTACTTCTATCAAGAGGTTGTGTATTTGACTTCAGTATTAAAAGAGATAAATCTGTTACCAATGTATATGGCAACAAGAACTGCCAAGGTATATTTGACAATTTTGAAATGCTTGAAAACAGAAGTGTCACATGAGTTTAGACAGTTATATGATTATGGACCGTTCAGCTATTTATGTTTCGCATGCACACGGAGTCACTGGAATCAGGTGTTTCATATGCTAATACGTGTTAATAAAACAACTGGCAATGTTGTTGTAGCAGATTGCAAAGGAGTGCTGATCAGTGAGCTGCTTGGCAAAAATGTAAACAGCATCACAATGCATTGGCCTATACACACTTCCAGTTACTTGGCAGTTGTTGTTTTCAACTGATTTTGGCAGTGAGACATATAATTAATTGTGTATACATTTATTTGTTTTTGTAGAATTAACTGATGATTGGTCAGGAAATAAGGAGCCATTATTAGATGGAGTTACATTCACTGTTAAATATCTTGGTATGTGTTCCATTGATCTACCGAATGACGAGGCAGCCACTGCAGAAGCAGTCAAACAAATTGTTGCACAGGTGAGATTTGCTATCAATTATAAATTACAGTGAAATATGACAGTATTGTTCAAGAAATCGTGTAAACAGTCACTCCTTCTATATTCGTGTCATGAACTTTTGTACAGTGAATGACTTGGCTGGAAAGTTCAACCTTAGCAGCATGGAACATTTTGTTTGATTAACTGAAACAATAATTGGAAACATCAAAGTGGTGGTATGTGTACATGTATCAACAGACTGGGACTAGTGTGACTTTAATGTTTATATTAATGTTGGTTACACTGTATCTGACTTTGTTCATATCAGTGTTATGTCTAGACATTACTATTTTTTGAGTCATTTATTAACAATACAAACAATCCAATTGCCAAATTTGCACTGATTTTTGCTATAAAATGGTGTGCCTCAATGAGTTGAATATTGCTACAATTAACTACAAAGCTACTTCATCTTAAACAAGATGTAGAGATGTCAGAACAATTACTAATTAAAAAAACCTATGATTCAGTCATACTTTCTGATAATTTTTATTCATATATATTTCTTGTGTATCTGTCATACATGTATTATTTTTTTGTTTCTTTAGAGTAAAGCGCAACCATACAAAGTTCAAAAAGTGTCCTTAACAGTCTCACCAAAAGGTATTAAACAGGTTGACCTGGCTACTAAAGAAGAAATTGATGAAGTCCCTATATTTAGGTAAATTTTAAACAATTTTGTCATTACAATATTAGTTTTTAGACATGCACGTACTGCATCAGAAACATGTCATATGCAATCCGAAACAGAAAGTCTCAGAAGTATACTATTCCCAAATACTGTATGTATGAATTATTTATTACTTTTCTTGTAATAACTAATACGCCCACCTTATAGCAAAACTATTTGGTCATTGGTGACATGTTGGACAGCATAAAGTGAAAGTAAGGTCTGTTCATTTGTAATATCAATATGCACAGTGACTGAGAGGTTAAAATAGTTCCCTTTTGTTTTATTCTGACAGAATTTCCTACTGTACAGCTGATAAAAATCATGATAAAGTATTTGGGTACATCACAAAAAATGTAGACACAGATGGTTTAGAGTGTCATGCTTTTCAGTGTGTGAAACGAAAACAGGTAAGACTTGAACCAACTGTTGTGAACACGTTTTGTATCCATTGATTGCATTTTACACAGCTGCATAGGACAACCTCCCCTCATTCTATTTTAAATTATTATCTACAGGCAGAAGAGTTAACTTTATCAGTAGCACGGTCATTTAACATAGCATTTGAATGCTGGGATGACTCAAATGAACAAGAAGATCTAGCGCCATATGAAACAGGTGAGAAATACAATTTAAAGCGCGGTGGTAGTCGAATTTCATGTAAATAAACAATGTATTTTACACACATTGTATACGTCGCTATGAGTCCCATATCGAACAGGACATGGCACGACGACTGCCACTCTTTAATGACGTCTGGCAATCAATGAAGGGGGATGGTCATTATGCAGGGCATCTTTGAAATTTGTGTAAACCAAAACATGTATTTTATACGCATTGTACATGTATGTGTTGCTATGGGACTCGTATCAAACACGGTGCAGGGTGGCAACCACCATGCTATAAACTCAATGATTCATAAACCAAGGGTGTGCAATACAATCTTGTTTTTTGAAAATGTTGTATTTTGGACATGCTTTGTCCATTTTCATTCAAATTTGGCACATACATGTACTTTATACATGTTAGAATGCATGTCCATGACAATTTGTTTCAAAATCTGGTCAAGGATGGCCGATTGACAGCCATCTGATTTTTTGGCCTTACTACTATATTTCCACAATTTATGTACCATTTTCATTCGTATTTGGCACATACATCATACATTTCAGTGTGTTTCATAATCAGATCAAAGATGGCCGAATAACGGCTGTTTTTATTTTTGGCCATATTACTACTACACGGAACATGTGTTTTGATGTGAATAAACAATTTGTTGTATACGGCACTTGGAACTCAAGTTTCAAGGACACGCTCGCGACAACCCCTCTGCTTTAATATGACGAGCACAAAGAGAACTTTCAAAAATTTAACTGGGACTGTGTCATTTTAAATGACTTGTGTGTTTATGAAAACTCGCTCATTTCTGATTCTATAATCAATTCAATTCAATCATTGATTGGGTTCTCAGATAAGTTTAGTCAGTACAGTTCAGTTGATACATGGAACTTTCTAGTAAATAATATAACCGGTATCACTATTATCAAGATTACACACCCTCATCTTATGAATCCAAGTTATACTATATGTTCATTTCATCATTTGTAAACAGTCCGCTTTTAAATTGCAGGGTCACCCAATAAAATGTCAGCACCACAAGCAATACCTGGTATCAATAATACAAACACACATACATCATCAACCAAGTCATCTCCATCGTTGTCGCCATCACCATCACCATCACCGTCTCCATCACCACAGAATACAAGCCCAATGAAAAAAGGTTCACCATTTTCATTAAGTCCTCCACCAAAAAATCCAAGACATCCAAAAGGTAATTATGATGGTTAAAACAGTACATTTTCTATTGAGATGATGAATTTTAATTTTCATGATTGTTTTTTTTTTTTTCACTAATGGCATCAATATACATTTACTGTGTTCCACCATCCAAGCTTAAAGGCCCAATTCACTTGCCCCGGGCAAGTGTGAATTGGAGGTGTGGCTATTCTAATGCATGGTGTTAATCACTTGCGTAGCCTATGATGCATCCTGTTTCAGCGGTCCAACATCACATGACTTTGATTGACAGTAGTAATTATTCAAGATTAGTCGCGCATCCCTTTCCCCGGTTCATGTTCTTTACTTTTATCCGCCAAAATCTCAGCTCGTACACAATTAATTGTCATAAATATTACACAGTCACTGCTGTGATATTCATAGTCACATGCATCCACTTTGGCACGACATAATCGACCTGTAAGTTCGAGAAAACATGTTTTTACCGGAGCTTGGCTGGAGCTGTTTACTACAGCGTGACAAGCAAGGAAATGATCCCTATTGTTTAGGTGCGTATTTATAGTATACCTGGGCCTTTAAGTGACTCCTCATTTGATACCATCTTCAATCATGCAGCAATGTAATGTCTCCTAGAAAATGCAAGTAATTGTTATTGAATTTCAAAAAACAGCTAAACTTGCATATAGTATTGGAAATCATAGCTGTTGTACTTCACTCATTGCCACTTTGTAATAATTGTGTTTTATGTTTTGTTTTCATGCCACATAGTTTCATCATCAGCACCATCATCATCCCATATGATTGACAGACATCATAATAACAATGTACGTGTTGCTAAATTATTAGATGTAGTAGCGACGGATCATACTACAACACAGTCGCAGAGTGATAGCGTTGATGCCGCTTCTCAGCTCATGGCCAAATGGGTATGTAAATATAAGTAAAATGTGTTAAATATCATATTTTGAATATTGAAATTTATTTTTAATAGAAATACACATTAACCATCAATTGCATTTATTGTATACTGTCAAATACTTTATTTTCGCTGAAGGAATGATTAAGTGAAAATAAAATCTAGCGAATATACCTTTTCCCTATATTTTACATTCAACTCGTCAAAATTCAGTGAAAATAAATTCCGTACAAAACACCCAAAATGCCTTTTCAGCGAAAATTAATTCCAGCTAAAATAAAGTATTTTACAGTACTTGGTCATTAAGAGTTACAGCTGCATTTAAATTACTCACTACAGAGAATGTTACTAAACCTAATGTTGACAGCATTGTTAATATTTCAATAAAATCTGATATTGTAAGGTGAGATAGATATGTGAATATTAAAATTGTAGTTTACTGAATTATTGATTATCTGCTTCTACTGACAGGGTATTGATGACAGTAATCTTGATGATAGTTTCTCAAAGTAAGTAACTTACTTTAACTCCATTATCAAATATTTGATGTGATTTGTAAAATCATTGAAACGGCAGTTTGTGCAGATATTTGCAGTGCAATCTTTTGGCGTTGAGTTCGGTGAAAAAAAAAAAACGGGATAACATATTTAAAAGAAACATAAAATTAGGATATTCCAGAGACAAAGTATTGAAAGTATTATAAGACTTTTCATAGTGTCAACAGCTCCATGTCAAACCAAGTTTATACTCAATTCTGGCAAGTCACAATTTCACATCATATTCTTGAA